ATGAGACATTTTCATATTAAGTATAGTAAGCTTCAAATTTTATTTTATTATCATTATAGTTACCTGTGATTAATTATCACATATTAGACCCATCACCTATCTAAATAATTGGTTATATAAAAAGTAAGATTTATTACTTTTATTATATTTATTACATTTATTATTTTAGATAGATAAATAGTATATAGGACATTTGGTTTCTCATTAGTATAATGAAGAAAAGGATTTTAAAAAGGATATAATGTAAATAGATAATGTAAAAGAAACTATTCTTGAATGTAAATAAAAGTTTTATTAAAAATAAAAGACTTTTTGTCCAAAAAGAAGATAACAAGTATGGGTTATACTACCAAGTAAATACCTTTTATATAATAAACTTAAGTATCAGACCTATATTAAAAGTGGAACTATAACTCAATCTAAACTAAAAACTATTGTTAAAACACTCATTATCTATATTATTCATTTATTTGTAAATCACCAAACTATATTTTGTTTATTTGCTATAAGTTATATAACCAAGCTATTAATACAAGAGAAGAACTCCAACCTAATTCAATGTATTGTAATTCTAAGTTAAAGAAGTAGAAGAAAGAAAAGAGAATGCAAAAGTTAATAGAAGAATTAGTTAAAGAAAAAACTTAGAAAAGAAGAGTAGTACTTACCTATAGATAAACTACTAGCCAAATCTTATACACCTATTTCAACTTAGCAGCTGTAGATTATACAAGAATTAGAAAGAATTAGCAACAGATTTACTGATTTGCTATGTAATATTTGGTGATAAGATATGAAAAAAAAAATAATAGAATTAAAATTAAGAAATAAGAATAAGAAGAGCAATAAAATTGTAATATACTCATCTGAAGACAAAAGAATAAATAATATTTACTCACCAATAACATTTAAGCAATCCTGAAGACAACTATCACAAGCTCTATGAAACTTTTAACCAATTAAATGAAGCCATCAATGAAAAGTTTGATGCCCTTATTGTGAAAAAAAGGCCATATCATTAGTAAATGCCCATATATAGCTCTTTTGAAAGAAAAGTGTGCCACTTTTTGTGCTGCATTTACTAAAGAACAAGCTAATAATGTTCAAAGATCATTGATGAAGTCTTTGGAAATTATTATCTTAAAGATGAGCAACTTCTTTCAGTTCTAAAATTCTTGCTAGAAGTGATGAAAGACATGCTTGAGAATGTTTTATATAAACCTGTTTCTTATAATTATTTTTATCTTGCATTCTATAAAGAACATTCCACTAAGGTTTAAGAATAAACTGTTGTATATTTACCTCTGTATATCTGTCTAACTCTATCTGTAAAAGAGAAGAAACCACCTTCAGTACTTTTTGTAGCCTCCATACTAAAAGTTCTCATGAAGTCTCAAAAACCAAGACTACAGTATTTGATACCTATAAAAATCCAACAAATTTACAAAAGAACCTCTTGACTTGGACCACCTCTTTCAACAGCTAATTACTAAATATAAAGCTCTTATATAAAAATAGACCTGAAAGATGCCATCCAAGAACCTATACAAAAAAACAACTTGTCCAAAATAGGTTCTAAAAAAAATGAACATAAAGCCTATAAACATTGCAATTAGAGTTATAAAGAATGAACATAAAGCCTGTAAACATTGCTATTAAAATAGAATTAGAGCTAAAAAAAATAACCAAAAAGCCTTCAAATATCATTAAAAATCTACAGAGATGGTGAACTAAAAAAGTTGAACATTGTTATTAAATTGGAATCAATGCTAAAAAGAATTAATATAAAGCCTTTAAACATTAGCAAAATCTACAGTGATAGTAAATGCTAATAGAACTAGAAAAGTTGAATATTGTTATTGAAACAGAATCAAAGCTAAAAAGAATGAATATAAAGCCTTTGAATACTATTAAAAATCTGTAGAAATTGTAAATGCCAATGCAACATATTATGTTAGATCTTATTATAAAATAGTATTAAAGTTAAAAAGAACAGCTATCAAGCATTGAATATTGATAATAATAATAATAAAAATAACAATAATAATATAATCTGTGATAAAAATGACAATGGTGATAACAATGATGATAATACAATCTGTAATGAAGACAACAATGAAACAAAGATTAAAAAGAATAGAAACAAGAAAATTGGAATTAAAGAGGTAAAACATAAGGCATTCAAATATTTCAGGAGAGTTGCTAAATATAAGAACTTTAATGTACAAGGCTGCTAATGTTTCATATCAAAAAACTTGAATAAAGTTTGTAAAGATTGAAATAGAAGGATTAATAGTTTTAAAAAATTGTTCTAAGACAACTTGAAAGCAATAAAAGAACATACTTTAGCTAAAGGAATTTGCTAATCTAAAGGACCTTCTATCTTGAAATTTAGAACAAATCAAGCAGTCAAAGAAGAATTTGGTAAAATAGAAAAAATTATGGAAATTAGAAAAACAAAAAAATCAAGACAAAGAAACAAATAGTTAGAGAGAATTAGATAAACCCATCTTTTAAAAGAAGTCAATGCTAAAAGAACTTGAACTAATGCTATTAGAAAAAAGCTGTTATTAGAGAAAGAAGCTGATAAAGTTAAAAGAGCTGAATTAAAACCTGAGACTGCTAAGAAGTGGACACAAAATAAAAGAAGGTTTGACATAAATAACAAAGAAACTGCAATGCAGATTGAACCTGAACTACTACTTGCAAAATAAGCTTAAGAAAGAGAAGCTAGAGATAAAATGCAGAAAAGAGAAATTAATTTGTTTTTTTTCTATTAAAGCAGCAATCTTGCCTGTCTGTTTTTATTGGGTAATATATTATTATATAATTATATACAAAGTTTATCAATGAAAGTACAACAAGTTATACATATAACTTTAGTTATTATCGAATTAAGGGTTCCACTCAAGGGTTACCTACTAGCTGTTATACCTGAGATCTGCTTGTGAATTTCTTATTTAAACTTTCTATTTTCAATTCTATTGCATATATACAACACTTATATTACTATATAGACATATCAGGTTAGGGCTATCTAATTATTATTTATATCAAGATACCACCTTATTGGATGTTACCAAGTATTTATAGTCTCTTGAATTTACTTTTGACACAAACTTACTAAGTATGGTACCAAGATTAACTCTTAAATTTTATTCAATTTCAGTGTATCTCATATCTACTAAACCAATATTAATGCCAGAGGTGTTTGAATTTCAGTAAGTCTATTTCTTTTTTAGTTTTTTTTATGTTCACCATATTACCTGCTAGTGCATCTTCTCTTCATTTCTGATATGTTTCTCACTTTTCTCACATTGAGTACCAACTCCCCATATTAGAAAGCTTCTTTCTGAAAACTTTTTAACTCTGATTTTCTATTCACATGAACTTTAGCCACAGGGTTTCATGTACATTCATATGCTTCTGTAAATTACAGAGTTTTACCTCTAGTTGAAATTGAACTATTAACTTTGTCTGTAGAGAAAGGAGTGTCTAGACCACTAGGCTATGGAACATCAACTCAGAAAAGAGAAATTAGTAAAATAAATCAAAAACAAAAAGACAATAAATAAAAAGAAAACTTATTTTTATTCATTGATTCATGCAATGACTTTATCATTAAAACATTGAAACATAAGAATTTGAAGTTTCTGTACTGCTTCTATTTATATATGTATATATAAACTAAGTAAAAAAGAAATGTAAGCCTCAAAATTTGTCCTATTATTATAGTTACTTGTAATTAATTATCATAAATAAAACTTATTGCCTATCCGAGTAATTAGTTATATGAAAAGTAATATTTATCTTACTTTTTTTACTTTTATTACTTTTGTTACATTTATTATATTTATTACTTTAGATAAATCAATGGTATTTAGAATATTAGATTTTTTGTTAGTATAGTAAAAAAAGGAATTTTAAAGAGAATATAGTGTAAATAAATAATGTAAAGAAAAATATTTTCAAATGTAATTAAAAGTTTTATTATAAATAAAAAGTTTTTTGTTCAGAGAGAAGATAATAAGTATAGATGATATCTCCAAGTAAATATCTTTTTAAACAATAAATATAAGTATTAGATTTATATTAAAAGTAGAACTATAACCCAACTCAAACTAAAAACTATTGTTAAAACTATTGTTAAAACACTTGTTATCTATATTGTCTATTTATTTGTAAATTAATAATTGCATTTTGTTTGTTTACTATAAAATATATAACCAAGCTATTAATGCAAAAGAAGAACTCCAACCTGATTCAACATATCATAACTTCAAGTTAAGAAAATAGAAAAAAGAAAAGAAAAGGCAAGAGTTAATAAAAAAATAAGTTAAAAAAAAGACTTAGAAGAGAAAAGTAGTACTTATCTATGAATAAACCACTAGCCAAATCTAATATATCTATTTTGACTTAGATACATTAGATTACACAAAAATTAAAGAAAATTAGTAACAGACTTGCCAATTTGCTATGCAACAGTATATAATAAAATGTTCAAATATCAGTCTAACAAGATATTTTTATATTAAATATATAAATTCAAAATATTATTATAGCTAGATGCTAGTATATGCTAATGTTAATATAACAAAGTGGTATGTATTAATAGAACACTTATGTTCAGCACTTTTGCTAAAAGATCTTTTTTTTAATTCACTCTTTTGCATCTTAGTTTATCTTTAACTTTACAAATATTATCACTTAATTTTCTAACTATAAGATATAGCTGCTGGTTTTGTTGAAAAAATCAATTATAGATTTGGTGGCAAGAACCAGAATGCTCTTAAAATTTTATTTTTTTAAAAAAAAGCAAAAAAAAAATAATTTAAAATTCAGATATCTGAAAATTTTAAAAAAATAATTTAATTTATATATTATAATTGTTTTGTAGTTGATCCTAATTGAATATTTGTTAATTATGTGATTGTGATCTGGATTGTGAACTTGCTGCAGATGTGATAGTAATTTATTTTATTTGATAGAAAATAATAAATAATATGGATATGAGCCAAAAGATGATAGTTATTAAAAATATTATAAGTAAGTAATTGTTAAGATTGGTTAGCTTGATGTAATTAAATTTGTTTTCTACTTTTATACTTATTTTAGAAAATATTTTTTATATATTTATACTACTTTTGACTAATAAATCTAAAGCTGAAGAATTATTATCACAAGTATTGCATAGTTGATGTGAGTCAGTGATATTTTAAGATAAATAAGAAGCAATCGATTGAAATCAAGTTGTATTAACAGATATAACAAAATAACAAAAAGGTAAGTTATTAAATAAATTGTTAATAAAGGTAAATTGTTGTTAGAAGGCAAATTGTTAATAAGAACTAAAGTGTTTACAGGAGGTAAGTCATTAGAAGTATCATTTGTAGAAGTGTTATTAAAGTTGTTGTTAAAAGTGTTATCAGTAGGAAAATTATTAAAGTTATTGTTAGAAGTGTCTGAGTAGTTGCATTAATAAAGATGTGTTGAAAGTATTATTAATAGAAGCATTATTAAAGTTATTTATTTCAAAAAAAAATTCAAAAAATAAACCAAAAATATATTTATCTTTTCAAATGCAAGTGCAGTTATTTTATACCATCTAAAAATTAATTAATAAGAATTAATATATAATAATGTTAGTTATTATATAGAAAAAAAACTAAATGTATACTTATCTGTATTTTTTTGTTTATAACATATAATTACAATTTATTGTATTTAAAATTAAGTAATAAAAGATAATGCTATATAGCAAAAATAAGCAAAATAACATCTAGAGTTAATAGCATAGCAGTTATGCTCTGAGGTCACAAATCACAAGGTTGCCAGTTTAAATCCTAATAATGGCAATTGTAGAGATGTATTTCCAATATAAAGAACTGCAATACTATGGAATCAGAAACTTAGAATGTTCAATGACAGGCTTATTTCTGAAAATGCAGTTAAGAAACCACATTGTAATAAACATGAGTTGAAACCTAATTTGGAATAACCAAAGTTATGAGATATAATGTAAGACTAAAAGTCTGATACAATAAGAAATACTATATGAACTTATAGTAACAGTCAGTTCTTGATAGAGCCTAGCAAAGCCTTCTAATACCAGCAGAAATCAGTGTGACAGTTACTTCTGAAAAGTTTAAAAGTATAAACTGAGAGAGGTTGAGGTCCAGCTCTGAGAGCATATTAAGAACATTAGTTTGAAAAATGTAATAGATTTGCTGAAAGATTTTGGCAAGACTAGTTAAAAAGAAAAAAAAAATAAGCAAAATATACTTATCATATTTGTTTGTTATTTTAATTGTAATAACAATTTACTATTATTATATATGCAATAGCAATTTTTGAAATATATCTTATTATTGATAACTTATAATATTTGAAAATATCTAAATAATGTCAGATGTAATATAATGTTAGTTTTTAATTAAAATGTTATATCAGATAAATAATTATAATGCTTTGTTTTAATCAAAAAAAAGAATTGCTTAAAATCAATATAAATTATTTAAAATCATTTTAACTATCTTTTAATCATGCTTTTTGCTATATCCTTTGGCTTTCTTTATTACTATTTCTTATTCTAATCAAAATTGCTTAAAATCAATATAAATTATCTTAACTATCTTTTAATTATTGCTTTTTGCTATATTTTTTGGCTTTTTTATTACTATTTCTTATTTTAATCTTTCATAATTGATTTTTTTATTTTTTATTTACTGTTTTTTCTCTTTTATTCTATTTTTTTTATTTTTTATTACTTTAAAACTGATACTATCCTTTATTTCTTTTTCACTATTTTTTTATTATTTATCAATAGTTTGCTATTTTTAGTTCTTTTATTAACTTTCAGTTGTTCTTATTTATTTTTATTCTTTATTTATTTTTTTTTCCATTTTTTTAAAATGCATAAACATTGTAATTAGGAATTTTTAAAATCTTATGCTTTAACATAGCATATTTCAAAAAGGCATCCTTATCTTCAAGATACAACAAATCCATCTGTTGAACAAATAGACAATAATATTTGGAAACTTTTAGATTATAGTTCTAGTTATTATATATTATCAAAATATAACTCAAATAATTATATAATATATTGAGTAAATAGTTATAAGTTTGTTAATAATGTTTAAAAATATAAATAAACAGCCATGTTTAATATAGAACAAAGTTATCTCAACATTATTTATATCCAAAATAGATTTTTTTATAGAAACAGAAGATAGCTTTAATGAAGTAAATTTATTATAATTAGCTATTAATATTAATTAAAATTAAAAATTAAATATGTTGAATGGCATTCAACTTTAATTAAATGCTATTCAACATCTTTAATTTTTAATTTTAGCTATAATGCATAAAATATTATTATCTATTAATTTATATTATTTAAAATAAAGACCTATTATCTTATTTAGATATGGAAATAAATAACCTTTTAGCAGGTTCCAAGTCTTTTTTTAAAGAAAATAAATTATTTCAAATAAAAAATAATGAAATTAATTCAGAAAACTATAATGGTGCTTCGATTGATGATGCTTATTATGATCTATAATATCCAGAAACTATTGAAGAGCCAAATGATGCTTATTAAAAGTTTATAAAAATAATTAATAAATACTATTTGTCTAATTTAGCTGGTGATGCTATTATAAATTTTTTTAATAAATATTCTAATTTGGATGTTTTGCTACTTTCTTCAATAACAAAGATTAAAAAAGAATTTCTGTATAACTCTACTATAACTTATATGAAGTTTAAAAAAGTTCTTATTACAACTATTTAAGATGTTAAATAAATATTTTACTATTAATCATTAATTAAAACTATAAAGTCTTTATTAATAATCAATAGTCTTAATAAGTTATTAATAATTAACTTTGAAGATAAAAGAAAAATAAATAATAAGTTATCTGTTTTTAAAGAGCAATATAATTCTAATTAGTAGTAATGAGAAGAATTATTATTACTCATTGAACAATAATTATTATTGATAATTCTTTATTTTGATGAACAAATCTAAACTATTTAAAAAAGTCTTCTAGACATCTTATATTTTTATTTTTAAACAACATTCTATATTTTTTATGAAATAAGTCAGAGTCTAAAGCTTTAATTGAATACCTATCTATTTTGAAGGTTAAAGATTTCAAAACAAAAGGCTCTGAAAAATTTCAAAAATTACAAAGAAAGGTTTTTATACATATTTAAGAATCATATTAAAACTCATTGCTAATAGTTTAGAGCTTAATTTTGTTATTTATGATAATTTAATTACATTTATACTATGAATTTTAATGATAATAACTGATTTACTTGAAACAAATAAGATGGCTGACACTTATCAGCTATTTATATAGAATAAGTCTTGTCACTCTTGTTTAATATTAAGAAATAACTTAAATAATATAGAATTAACTATCATATCATCAAGAACACCTTATAATATAAAAGAAATAATTGATAATAGTAATGAATATTATTATTTAATTTATTTTAAATAAATATATTTTGGAATATAAGGTATGATATTTTGTATTATTTTTTTTTTAAATATTAATGATAAGACTATGCCTTTAACTTTACTAAAATTCAATTAAAGTTTTTACAAAGAAAGGCTTGCTTTTAAATTATATATAAAGAATAAAGACTTAAACATATAATCTGTAACCTAAACCTACAAAAGTGGCCAAGGCTCACTTAAATTTGGGTGTTAGTAATAATATATAAGAAAGAAGTATGTTATTTAATCTATTGGATAGTTTAAAGATTAATATTAGTAATAATTTGTAGTATTAAGATAGAAGGTAATAGTAGACTAGAAAGAGAATTATGAGTTGAGTTTGTAGAAGATGTAATTGAAGACTATGCTAAATATGAAGTACAATATAGAATCCATATTTGTTTATATATTTGTTGGTTTAAATAAAGAAGAAATTTAATAGAAAGAGAGGTAGCTATATAATAAGAAATAGAAGTATTGTAAATAGTAGAAATAAGGTTGATAGAAACTAAGTTAGATAAAGTAAAAATAAGAGATAGTATATAAGAAAATTTGTGCAATTTAAAACTGTTAAGTGTAAGAATTTCTTAATATAATTAGAAACAGAATTAGTAAAAAAGTTGAGAACAGTAGCATTTAAGATGCGGTTAAGAGAATTAGAGATTAAGTGATAGATTGTTTGAGTAGAAGAACAAAAAGTTCAGTGTAATAAAGAACTAGTTTGATTGCATTGATGGCAAAGAGAAGAGTAAAAAGAATTGCATTTGTAAAGAGTATAAGAAACAGGTAGTTCATCCAAAAGTATTTTAATACAAAGGTTTTTAAAGTAAAGAAATAAAAGCTATAAGCAAAGTTGAAAACTTTTTGATTATTATTAATGTAAAGCCAAGTAACTTCTCAGTAAATATTAGATGTAATAGTAGACCATTATTAAAAACAATATTGGAATGTCCAAAGTGTTATAATATAAGCTTGACAAATAATATGAATAAAGCTTTGAAAAGAAATTTTAATAGGATATTGGTCAATAAATAAAGTATATGCAGAGTTGTAATAGTTGTTATTTAAAAAAAAAAAGAGAATAGTATTTGATGACTATGAGCAAGCTGGTTGGCAAGATTATTAAATAGGTCATCTTGGTATGCAGTAACTTTGTGAAAAGTGAGCTGAATATTGTATAAGTTAATAAAGTTAATAAGAGTTTGCCAAAAAAGAAGTATAGGATATGAGTATAAGAAAGTTTAGAAGCTAATAAGCAAATACTGTGATATTTAGAGATTACAGATTGTAAATCAATAAAGATATGAACAAAACAGTTTTTGGAGTAGTAATAATTGCTAAAAGAATAGCAAAAATTTCAGCTTTAAAAGAGCATAGCCAAAGTTTAACTTGTGCCTAAAATGAATAAATAGTTGTAGAGTTATCAACTTGAACCCAGCCTATGCCCATAGAGTAGGGGCCTGCAAATTGCCTATTTTTGAGGCCCGGCCCGGCCCGCAATTAGGGTTAAAAATTTTTTTTAGGCCCG